GAAGAAACACCGAATGAATCACTCAGTTCATGTTTTTGGGTGATTTTTGTCCCAAAATGTCACACTCATTACAGMTCCCTACTTTACCAACTGTTTACTCGCCGTAAACAAACTTTTTATTTTTAGAATCTAGTATTTTTTATAAAATAAAACACTGAATTCGATGTTTACTCATGTTTGTGTTAGCGAACTATTTTATAGCAAAAAATTTCAAAATTTTGTCTGTCAAAAATGACATTTTGAATTTTTCTCACAGCAAACATGATTTTGACAAGTGTTGACTACGTTTACACAGCGCTTTATTACAATCATGCCAAAAGAGACAAACTTTCGTTTAAGGAATTGACACATGACAATACTTGACGTTTTTCATAGATTTAGTGCACAAAAATCGCCATTTACACACACTAAAATGAAAATTTGTTAGTCAAAAAACCGTTTCAAACCCCCGTGTAAACGGAGCCATTTTGCTTCAATAAATCACAATTGCTATGAAAAATTTTATTTTGGATAAATTTTCCGATTTTACGCCAGTTTTTATGTTTTATGCCATTATGTAAAATAAAACAGTGAATAACTCATTCACAAGCTTTCAGTTCGTGTTTTTGTACGATTTTTGTGCCCAAACTAATTTTGTGCTCATTACAGTTTCCTACTTTTTGCAATTTTAAGCAAGTTTTTGTTGATTATTATTTTAGAATTTCGTGTTTTTCATGCAATAAAACACATTCGTGACCTCTKACTGTGTTTTTATGTTCATCAAATGTCACAATTACAGTTTCCTATTTTACCAACTCAGTTAAAACTGCTCTATTTTCAGAGTCTCGTGGGTAGAATCGAGCGCATCGGCATAACCAACCTCATGGGGGCCCCAGGCGCCCTCTCCATCTCCGCAGGCCTGTACTCCCGACCGGCGTTGACCAGCCCCATGGCTCAGTTGACTTGTCTTTTGCCGAACCCGGAGCCCCATATTAAAACTCTGCCTAACCAAAGTAATAGCCCCCTTACTGTCTACCCCCATTTCTATGTCGTTATTTTTTGTAGGAAAGCCATCGGGTCTGGGAGTCCCCGGAAAGCCCGGCAGTGGCGCCCTCAGTAAGCGTCTCGAGCAGCTAAATTCGCGCAAACAACGTCGTGGAGGAGTCACAAGATCTGATTTAGGGACAGTTTCGACGAAAAAACAACCGCCTGAAGTTCAGGAACAAACCTCCACTTTGGGGACTCTTAGTTCGTTGTTGTTTGGCCGCAAGGGGGGGCTGTTCTAAACAGTATTTTATCACCGACATTTGCAATAAATTACATATMTTATGTACCGTTTTTGTGTCATTTTCAGGTGCTGTTAATTTTTGTGTGATATTTTTGCACAAATCGTTATTTTCATATTTAAATAATCATTTGGTGCTGTAAATAAGGTTGAATAATTATGGCTTAAATAGGGTGTTAAATTATTAGCCAAACGTTTCAAAATTAAATAATAGTTATTCTGAGAAAAATATACAAGGTGTTGAAAAAAGATTGTAAAGTATTACAATCTTTTTTTAACACCTTGTATAATAGTTACAGTTATAGGAACTTGAGATAATTATTCTAAATGATCATTTTGTGTAAGAATATGAGAAAAAATGCTGTATAAAGTATTTATTTTACTAGTAAGGAATCAAGTCGGTAGTATTATGTTGTAAATAAAGACGAATTTGAAGTGGTTTTGTTTTTGATTTTTTCCAATTTCTTTTTCAAATCACCTTATTTTTCAAATTTTGCGGCAAAAAATGCGTTTGCTGAGATGGCAACACTGTACTATAGCTGTCATGGTAACAATGTTTGTTTCCTAGAAAAAACTATTATTTTTACTGTTGATTAGTAGCAACGCCATTAGGCAATGTTGCCACATTTGTTTTTTTATTTTTTGAGTTGGTGCGCTTTTTTTATGACTCAAGTAATTTTATCTGAATCACTCTGTATTTACAAAAATCACAAAATGGCTCCTAACCACAAAAACTGCTTTCTGGGACGTGATTTTAATCATTTTAAGCAATTTTTCTCCAAAATTTCAAAATTTTGCGATTTAAAAAAATGTCTTTTATTTTAATTTTATTTATTTATATACTAATCAATGAACAAAAACACGATTAGCCCGTCACACCAATAAAACTGGTTTTATTCTCACCTGAGGATGACCACTTTGTGGTCGAAACGCGTTGTGCTATTAAAATAAAAGTTTGGTGTGACGGGCTAATCGTGTTTTTGTTCATCGTTTCCATACCAAGAAGATCCAAGAAGAAGAAGTATATACTAATCATACAGTATGATTCGACGGGGATGGTCTTACTTCGTGATTATTTTTAAAGCTTGAATCTTAAAAAAAAATTCTGAATTTTAGTTTAGAATGTCAGAATTCACAGATTTGAAGTTAAAATTTTCAGTTTGGAAAATTAAACACATTTGATGAATTTAACAAAAAAAAAACAGATTTTTAGAACAAAACGTGAAAATTAGAATTTCAAAAACTAAACACAAAATTTAATGTTTTTGAAGCTCGAATTTAAAAAAAAATGCCAAAATTTCAGTTCATAGTATCAGAATTCACAGATTTGAAGTCAGAATTTCGAAAATTAAGAATGCTTTTCAAATTGAATTTTCAAAAAAAAATGAGGACAAAACGTAAAAATCCACAGATTTGAAGTCAGAATTTTGAGTTTTAAAGTAGAATTCAGATAATTAAACATATTTGATACTTTTAAAAACAAAATTTGGAAAAAAATGTCAGAATTTCAGTACAGAATAACAAAATCCACAGATTCGAAGTCAGAGTTTCAAGTTTTAAAATTAGAATTCCGAAAACTAAACACGAAATTTGATGTTTTTAATGCCTGAATTAAAAAAAATGGCAAAATTTTAGTACAGAATGCCAGAATTAACAAATCTTAAGTCAGAATTTCGAATTTTAACATTAGATTTTTGAAAATCTGGAAAAAAGTATCAGAATAAATACCAAAATTCAGAATTGAAGAAGGTAAAAATATTGAGTTTTAAAATAGAATTAAAAAATTTGAACATATGATATTTTTAAGGACTAAATTTTGAAAATTAAAGACTACATTTGATGTTTTTAGGGAATTTTAAAACAAAACATGAAAATTCACAGATTTGAAGTCAGAATTTTGAGATTTAAGGTTAGAATTCTGGGGACTAATTCCGAAATTTTCTATTTTTAAAGACTGAATTAAAAAAATAAAAACAATCTTAGGAAAAATATGAAAATTCCGATTTAATGTCAGAATTTCGAGTTTTCAAATAGAATTAAAAATTTGATATTTTTA